GAAACGTTTCATTAAAGAAGAACCCGTCCAGAAGACCTGTACAATTTGTTTCTTTTTGATTTTTACAGTCTTTATTTTACAGTTAAAATATATGTTTATTAAATAAAGTCTAATGTTACAACTAATCATGGATCCCTTTTAAAAATGGGACATTTTTGGCCAGTGACTCATTAAAGTCAACATGGTAACCATACAGCTGTGTATTTATTCCCTGACTGCCAAGTTAATGAGAGGTAGAAGATATAAACAGACTGAAAATGTTGTCTCAAACAAACAGTCGCTTTAGAAAAAGAACTATAGTCAGATCATAAAATTATGCAGTCATATGCTGAAAAAGACAATCATGTGATTTTTAATGTTTCTGTAATATTTTATGCATGAGACAAAAACGTTAAAGACGCTTCACTTCCATTCTTGAGGAGAACACTTAAAAAAATAAATATAATCTAAATCTAAGGAAGCTTGGGTGTGAGCTCTGCTTTCTGTCAAATTTGAGAGAAAACTGTAGAAAGAAACACACTGGGTGAAAGAAGACAAAATACCTACATTCTGATATAGTGTGTCTATACCAAAAATGTGGGAATAAAATGAGTTTGCAAAAAATTTCAACATTTGTGACGAGCTACAGGAAAACCAAGAAAAAAAGGAAAAACCATAATTTTCAAAGAAAATAGTAATTTTTGTTTTTTTGCAAGACATACTAGTTGAAGATATGAAGAATCCATCTCATGATTTAAATAGCAGTTTCAAAGGTTTAAAATGGTAAATTTTGTGTTTAATTCAGCCTGTTTTCAGAGTAAAAAGGTAATTTGCGTTTTGGGGAGGAGAGCCACACAGCTGATTAACGTCTGGCTTTGACTGGCTGTTCTCAGGCTGTTAACACACCTTTTTTATGGGTTTTTTTCCAGTAAGCTGCAGGTTTGAAAGAAACACATGGCTGCTTAACCAGTCTAGAGTTCTGTTTTTGAATGAACATGGATCATGGGCACTTCTCCAGAACCGAACCTCAGCTGTAACTACAGCAAGTCACAGTGTCTGTTTCACAGTAGCAGTAAATTTTTTACCAAGGGAGACACAAATGTTACTTTTGATTCTAAATCAGAACAAGATGAAACAGAAGAATCTGCTACAGCGACCACAATACTTTGGAAAACATTCTGAGTTTACAGTTGAAGTTAGCTGAAGATGAGGAAGATGAAGAATGCTTTGAACTTGCAGTAAGGAGCTGGGGTCTCATTTATAAAGGATTGCGTGGAAACCATACTAAAATTGAACGTACGGCCAAAAGGCGGAAATGGCGTTCGCCAAAAAAAGTCAGATTTATAAAACCGTACGTATGCATGTTTCTGTGCATCTTCCCTTTATAAATCACAGCCGCACGTCAGAGTTTGCGCACGAGGTCCCGCCTCAGGTTCTGCCCTCTACACGCCCACACTCAACCATA